CCAGCTAGGGAGCTCTAAGGGCAGGGTGCTCACACCCTGGGGCAGAGCATCACCCCTGGGGCTGCAAGATGCTCCCTTTGTGGGATGAGGGAGCAGGAGCAGAGCCCACACCCCTCATGCCAGGACAGGGAGAGCACTGAACCCTCCCTCCTGCTCTCAGTCCGCAGCCTCAGAGCCAAGTGCTGCTCCAAGGAAATGTTCTACCACCGGAAAATCCAAGAGTCCAGGATCTTGGGCTACCTGGAAACAGCCTCCACCTGCACCCACAGGGCTGTCTTGTGAGTAACCCCAGCCCCCAGCCAGCCTTCCTCCCCTCCAGCCCATCCTCACCTCGCTCACCCTCCTTCCCCACCAATCCCCATTGTTGGGGACTCCCCAAAATGAGTCCCTTGTGTGACAGTGGTCACAGGATGAGGGAAGAGATGTAGATCTGACTCTATGTTTTAGAAGGCTTGATTTGTTATTTTATGATATATATTGCATTATAACTACACTTAAAAAAGAATAGAATGAAAAGTTTCATCTCAGAAGGCGAGCTAAGAATAGAAAGGAATGAAAAACAAAGGTTTGTGGCTCGGACAGAGAGAGAGCCAGCTCTGCCGTGAGTGGTCACTAATTCCAAACATCTACACGAGACCAATCACAGATCCACCTGTTGCATTCCACAGCAGCAGAAAACCACTGTTTACACTTTGTCCCTGAGGCCTCTCAGCTTCTCAGAAGGGAAAAAAATCTCAAGAAAGGATTTTCATAAAAAGATGTTTGTGACCCCCTTGCACAAGGTGCTGCATGTCGGGCTGTCCTCACCTGGCTCTGCACACTCACCTCCCTCCCTGCTTGACCCAAACAGCCCCAAATGTCCCCATTTGTGCTGCCAGCAGGCCAAGAGTCAGCCCTGGCAGGGAAAAGGGGAACAGGATGCTGCAGGAACCCCCAGACTGACTCCCAGGACATTCTTTTTCTTCCCCAAGTGTGAAGCTGCTGAAAGGGATGGTGTGTGTGGACCCAGACAAAAAATGGTTCCAGGAGTACCTGAGGAAGCAGAAGAATCCAAACAGCACCTCCACGTGAAGCTGCCTTCCCCAAACCTCTATTTAATTGTACCCCATAGTTCTGTGTGTGTGTGTTTTTGTGTCATTAATTTACAGAGCTGGCTCTGTCCCCTTCCCCTGAACTCAATAAACCCTCTTGTAAATAAACCTGCAGCTGGAGTGAGACGTCAATGCTGGGCAGAAAATGGATCATATCCAGGCTCAATTTTCCCAGGAATAGTCCAGGAAACCCAAAGGGCCCAGCTCCCCTAGCCCTGCCCAGCTGTGGGGTTTAAGGATGCCCAGGGGATGAGGATAAATGTGAGGAAAATTCCCTTTGGGGTGTTTGAGGGTGTTTAGGGGTTGGCTCAGTCCCTGGGGAGCAGCACTGGTGACAGCCCCAGCTCTGGGTGTCACTGCCCTCCCCAGCTTGTCACCAAACAGGGCACTGTCCCAGCCATGGGCAGGCAGTTTCTGCAGAAAAACGCTGCATTGTTCACTTTCCTGTTAGTTTGTGACTCACTTGAATCATCTTTTTGATGAGCTAGGACATGCCTCACTCTTAAAGATACCTTTATACACATTGCCAGATTTGTTGCCATTTATCTGCCCCATTTAGGGCATTTTTTGTATAAATCAATGGCCAATTTTGTACAATCAATGGTCAATGGACAATTATTCTGCCACAATGCCCACAGGACTATATCACCTGGAATTGGTCTGGAATTAGAAGGAATAGGACTAGGACTGTGTAACTGCAATTCTCATTTTTTGCAGAGAAAATGAGAGTTAACCAGACTTTTCTAGTTGCTCTTTGGTGGTGGAAATCCCAGGGTCCAGCAGAACATTTGGGATGTGTGAAGGACAGGGCAGGAATCGGTTCTCTAAACCATAGAAGCATTAAAGAAAAGACCTTTAAGGTCAAGTCCAAGCACTAACCCAGCACCAAACCACATCCCCAGGGGTGACACATCTTTGGAACACCCCCAGGGGTGGGGATCCCACCCACCCAAACGCCACATTCACCCCGAGAACGTGACTCAGAGCTGGAGCCCACGCAGAGGTGCCCGATGATGAAGAACGGAACCCCTTGGAGATGAAAGATTGCCAAGGATGGGGCTGAGGGCACAGCTCGGTGTCCCTGTGCCTCTGGTGCTGCTGGGTGGCAGCAGGGTGGCAAACAGGACAGCTCAGGTTTAGTTTTTATATTTTTTATACTTTCCAGACTCTGGGCTGCTTTAGTGTGTAGTTCTGAGATTCATATCAGGGGACGGTGAGCTCTGTGCACAGACAAAACAATTCCTTCTGTAGCTGGGGACCAAGGACAAATGATCCAGATCTCAGGCCCAAGAGCATAAATAATGCTCTTAAATAGTGGTCATTATAATGTAATGTAGTGTAATGTAATGTAATGTAATATAATATAATATAATATAATATAATATAATATAATATAATATAATATAATATAGTAATGTAATGAAATGTAATGCAATATAACACTATATTATATTATGCCACTTATATTATATTATATTATATTATATTATATTATATTATATTATATTATATTATATTATATTATATTATATTATATTAATTTGTTATGCTATATTAAAACTATAATAAAGAATAGAGAAAGGATCCAGACAGAAGGCTAAAAGATAATAATGAAAAACTCGTGACTCTTCCAGAGTCCTGACACAGCTGGCTGTGATTGATTATTAAGTAAAAACAATTCACATGAAACCAATGAAACAATGACCAGTTGGATAAACAATCTCCAACCACATTCCGAAGCAGCAAAACATAGGAGAAGCAAATGAGAAGCAAAATTTCCTTTTTCTCTGAGGCTTCCCAGGAGAAGAATCCTGGGCAAGGGGATTTTTCAGAAAATGTGAATGTGACAGGGGTCTTTCCACAGTATCCTCAGGGAGGGAAGGAACATTTGGAAATGTGAGCTACAAATCCATCAGCTGTAGGAGCTGTGCTTTGAAAGCAGAGCTATTCCCAGAAAAGCCCCGCAGAGCAGGGTCAGGGCCAGCTCATGCGGCTGCCCCGTGCTCTCCCCGGAACCCCGAGCCACAGGAGCCCTTTGCAGCATTTTTATCAATGAGTGTCACTTCCAGGGGGATGTTGCATAAGCCCTGCGGCTTCCTCTGCCCTCGCACGGGATCGGGGTGCTGGCTGTGACTTTCATTT